GCTCGGGGCGTCCCGTGGGCAGGGGAGGGGGGACCCCGGGGTCCCGCTGCACCCCTCTGCTGGGACGGTCACGACAGCACCGGCCCCAGCCCGGGTCATCCTCAGCCCAGGGATGCTCCCGGTGTCATTAGTGTCCCCTGGGCTTTGCCCCCCGCACGGTTAGGGACGCGCAGGGGGTCAGGCCCGGTGCTGCAGGGCTCACCCCGCACCCCTCCCGCTGCAGCAGACGACGGTGGCTTTGAGAGCGGCGCCTACAACAACTCGGCCATCCGGACGCCCAACCTGGACGCGCTGGCCCGGCGCAGTGTGGTCTTCCAGAACGCCTTCACCTCCGTCAGCAGCTGCTCCCCCAGCCGCGCCAGCATCCTGACCGGCTTACCCCAGGTAGGGGCACCCACGCATGCTGGGTCGGGGCTGCCAGTCCGCAGTGGGCGCTCGGGGATGACCAGACCCGGCATGCTTACAGCATGGCCACAGGACCTGGCAATCCCCTCCTGCCCGCTGACCCACTCTCTCCCCTGCCCCTTGGGACCTGCTTCCCATGCACTCACACTTGCTGCACGGCTGGGCTTGTTTCGGGGCCAGGCTGGCAGGCACCATCCAACCGCGTTGTCTCCCCCCGCCTGCAGCACCAGAATGGGATGTACGGGCTGCACCAGGACGTGCACCACTTCAACTCCTTCGACAGCGTGCGGAGCCTGCCCCGGCTGCTCAGCCAAGCCCGCGTCCGGACAGGTAGGTGGCCCAGGGCAAGTGACACAGGCAGGGAATCACCCAGTGACACCGGGGTTTCACTTTGCTTCCTCCCACCGCTGCTCTCCTGCCATCCCGTTACCCCTCACCGTCACTTCTGTTCCTCAGCCTGCTCCTTCCTGGTTCCCGCGTTCACACAAGGCTCGTGCTCGACCCAAACTTCCACCCGGGCCACTCGGCTGCTCTAGCGCTGTCACGAAATGAGCGGTTAGGTCGCTTAAATAATCACCGCCAAAGATATTTGCAAATAGTGATTTTAATAGAAATTCATAAAAGGGTGATTTAGCAAAGTTTGATGGCAAGGTTCACTCTATTACTTATTAAATGAATGGAATACATGGGGAGAGAGAGAGAGAAAGAGAGAGAAGGGAAGACTGAGATAGAAGGAAATACAAGAGGGGGTAAAGGAGGCCTCTCAATGAGTCACGAGGTTCAGAATGGGCCCCCTTGCTTTCTAAACTCCTTCTCAGTGAAGAGCCTAGGTGCGGCTGGATCCAATCCTAGTCTCAGACTTGGTCAACAGTATATGTCTAAAGATTATATGTATTTAGCAGCAACTTAAGGTTTGTTCACAGTAAGGAGAGAATCACAAGAATTTAGTAGTAACTAATCATTGGTTACTCTAGCATCTACAAAGTGATTAGATAAAGTTTACTACAATATTTGTATCGATACACACACAATCACACAATAGGCCTAAAAAAGGTACCTCTTAAAAATCCTCGCAAGTTTGTTACGCGCAGATAAAGGTTCCCTTCAAAAATTCCCCTCGAGTTCAGTGAAATACTGACTTCAATGATTGTCTCAGCAGGCGAGGATTGAGCCTCAAGGAGCGAAGGGCACCGGAGATCAGCCCAGGTCCTGTTGCCAGGCCTCGGTATGCAAACATAAGGGTTCGCAGCTCTGAGAGGCGTCCCGCTCAGAGGGGGATGCTGGCGCAGCCCGTTGCGGTCCAGGAGAGCTCCGAGGGTCTCCCGTGGTACCGCCGTTTATAGGGTTGTGAGATGATTGACTTTAGGCATCAGTAAATTTCCATTCTGGCCATGGCTGTGGTCGGTAATTGCTGAGTTCTCATCAATCTCAGCAAGACAGGTACGATCCTCCCATACCGATCCGCCCGAGTTACGATCCACAATGCTACATTCCCAGGCTGTCAAGGGGTGACTGATTATGCCAGGTAAGATCAAGGCATTCTTGTTCCCCAGCTCAGCCATGCGGGAGTGCCTGGTACGGCCAAGGGGCGCCTGATCGCCAGACAAATTGCTCAAAGGCCAAGCATTGACCGGAGTCCCTGTGGTCATAAGGTGGTCCAGAGGAAAAGGGCGGGGGGACGCACCACCACAAGCGCCTGTAAGCTGTGGCAGCGTGGTCCCCAGGTGGGTCCCATTTTCTAAGCAGATGTGGAAGTGCCTCTGCAACCAGCAGAAATGACTGGAGAAGCCAGCAGCATCTTCCACTGTCACCAGCATTTGCTGAGCGCAGCCCGTGCTGGAGCAGATGATTTGCATCGGCTCCCAGAGAGGAGACAGCGGCTGCAGCCAGCGTCCTACCCCCCCCTCCCCGCTGCTCCTGGCACACCGTGCGTCTGCGTTCTTGCAGGGATAATTGGGAAGAAGCACGTTGGGCCCGAGGCTGTTTACCCCTTCGACTTCGCCTACACAGAGGAGAACAGTTCGGTCTTGCAGGTTGGGAGAAACATCACTCGAATCAAAGCGCTCGTCCGGCGCTTTCTGCAGAGCCAGGACGAGAGGTGAGACGGACCCTGTGTCCCTGGGGCAGGCTGCGAGGGGGCACGGGGGAGGGGAGGGAAACCGGCCTTGCTGTAGACGTGTCTCCATGTCCCAGTTGGTCACAAATAGGAAGGGGCACCTTGTCTCTGGGTCACCCCATATCCAGAAGCCGGGAATAGGTGGGAGTCCTCCTGCCGACCCCAGCTCACCCCTGCACAGCCCAGGGTTGGTCTCAGGCCCTTTGCTACACCACCTCCACCTCCATCCTCTCCATCTCTAGGTCTTTCTTCCTCTATGTCGCCTTCCATGACCCCCACCGCTGCGGGCACTCCCAGCCCCAGTACGGGGCCTTCTGTGAGAAATTCGGCAACGGAGAGAGCGGCATGGGCTGGATCCCAGACTGGAAGCCACAGCTCTACCACCCAGAGCAAGTGCAGGTGGGAGCCTGCGGGGCTGCATGGGGCTATATGGGGCTGCACGGGGCTATATGGGGGCTGCACGCAACAGCAGCCTCCGCCAGAGCCAGGGCAGCTGCAGGCTGGCCCCCACCTCGGTAACTGCCATCAGCATTAAGGGCGAGAGCTGGTGAAGGCCACCCCGGCATATACCCGTGACCACCACGTGCCACTTTTCCTTTCTCCGTTTAGGTCCCCCACTTTGTTCCAGACACGCCGGCTGCCCGGGCAGACCTGGCAGCCCAGTACACAACCATCGGGCGCATGGATCAAGGTAGGAGCCGCGGGGACCAGGCTGGTGGCAGCAAGCGCTGTGGTCCCTCCCGTCCTCCCTGAGCTCTGCCCCTCCACCCGCAGGGATCGGGCTGGTCCTGGAGGAGCTGCGGCGTGCCGGCTTCCTCAACAGCACGCTGGTGATCTACACCTCTGACAACGGCATCCCTTTCCCCAGCGGCAGGACCAACCTCTACCGGTCGGGCACCGCCGAGCCCCTGCTGATCTCCTCCCCCGAGCACACCGAGCGCTGGGGGCAGGTCAGCCAGGCCTTCGCCACCCTCCTGGGTAAGAGCCCCAGCCCCCCAAGAGGGAGCAGAGGCATGCAGAGCTGTGCAGGGGCGGGTGTGAGCTGGTCCCCACCCTCCCCACACCAAAACCCAGGGTCTTCTCCCAGAGGACAGCCTGCAGCCCTTGGCATTGGCACGGCCAGCTCTGGGAAGGGAGAGGAGGGACGACAGAGCAGCAGGGTCCCCGGCAGGGATGTCATCCTGGGGCTCAGCTCTGCAGCCCATCCCAGGACCACCCACAGCCCATGCGGCAGCAGACCCCGGGGACCTTTCTGCCCCTCTCCAGGGCTGAGTTTCCTCCCATGGGCCGCCAGCCCCTCCTCTCACCCTTTTCTTCTCCTCCAGATCTCACACCGACCATTTTGGACTGGTTCTCCATCCCCTACCCTTCTTACAGCATCTTTGGCACAAAGCGGGTGCAGCTCACCGGAAAGTCTCTCCTGCCAGCACTGGAGTCGGAGCAGCCCTGGGACACCGCCTTCAGCAGCCAGAGCCACCACGAGGTGACCATGTACTACCCCATGCGAGCCGTCCAGCATCAGCAGTTCCGCCTCATTCACAACCTCAACTACAAGATGCCATTTCCCATCGACCAGGACTTTTACATCTCGCCCACTTTCCAAGACCTGCTCAACCGCACCAGGGCCGGGCAGCCAACCCACTGGAACAAGACCCTGCACCAGTACTACTACAGGGACCGCTGGGAGCTCTTTGACTGCAGCCGCGACCCCACCGAGAGCCAGAACCTGGCTCCCGATCCCCGCTACGCCGCCGTCTTCCAGCTGCTTCGCGCGCAGCTCTTGAAGTGGCAGTGGGACACGGGTGACCCCTGGGTGTGTGCCCCCGACGCTGTCCTGGAGGAGAAACTGAGCCCCCCGTGCCGGCCGCTGCACAACGAGCTGTGAGCCTCGGCTCTGCCTGGCATCCCCACTGCCGTGGGATGGCCGTTCGCCGTCGGGCACGAGGGGGTCAGAGCAGGATCCCGGCTGGGCCGGTCCCAAATCCCTGGGTGACATCCCGAGGCTCGGCTCTCTGTATCGCAAACAGTGCCTGGCCCTGGAGCATTCAGGGATCCTTGTGCCTTTATCCTCGGCCAGAGGAGCCGCAGGGCCAAGTTGCTCCTCAATAAAGCCTCTGGAGGAGAGATCTCAGTTTTACCTGGAGCTGAGCACGTCCCTGCCGGCTCCTGGCGCCGCGGTCTCCATGCAGCACTGCCTGCTGCCAGCCCTGCTGCGGTGGGGCAGCTGGGGGAAAACGGGCCAGTGGGTACCAGCGAGGAGGCGGCAGGGGTACAGTTTAATTTAACAAAATATAGAAAGCGCTCAGAGTCCCTGAGGTGCGCAGGCCCAGGGGTGACGGAGTCTGCTCCCTCCCTGCACCACAGAGGCTCAACCAGAGCTGCACAGTGGGGGCCGGGGCCAGCAGCCCCCGGAGGGCAGCAGTCCCCGGGCTCAGAGCCAGAAGGACAGAGGGGCCAAGGAGCCAGCAGGATGGACGGGCCAAGGGGCTCCACAGCATGGCTGGGACTGCGGGAGCAGCCAGGGGTCCCCCAGCGCTCTGGGAAATGGGGTGAAGCCTGCAAGGGGTGCAGGCAGTCCTGCTGGAGGCCCCCAGGCAGGGATGGAGCCGGGGGGTCCCAGCTGGGGGACAGGGCTGAGCCAGGGCTCAGCAGCACTTTCAGGACAGGCACCGGCAGAGGGGGGCACAGACATGGCCTGGGGCTGCTCCCAGAAACAGCAACTTTATTCACAGCGTTGCTCCCTCACCCTCCTGCGCAGATCCCCCTCCCCAAAAACACAGCCAGGAGACTCCGCGCAGTCCCTCAACAAGTTACCAGTTCCACATGTTAACAGGTTTGCTGTCTCACAAGGCACTTGGGTTGGTTTTTTCCCCATTTTGGGGGAGCTGAGGGGTTCCCCATCCCCAGGGGTTGTGCAAGCCCCCCCCACCCCGATGCAAGTCCAGCGCACACATCTCCAATGCGCTCGTGTTAGCCAGAAGGGAAGCCGAAGCCCAGGAGCCGTGCTGTGTGGGAAGAGCAGCAGCAGCTCTGGTTTTATGAAGGATGGGATGGATTTGGCTCCAGAGCCAGAGGGAGCAGCATCGCCTCGCCCCACTGAGCGGCACGGGTCCAGCACAGGCTCAGGACCAAGTGATCACAAACTGCTCCCACATCGGCAGCGACACGGGGACACTCAGCACCTGCGGGGGAGAAGGAAGGGTCAGGACAGTGAGAACCGGCCAGGACGGAGCCCAGGGGGTGTCAGAGCCAAGGGGGGTGCATGCAGAGATGCAGCCTGGCACAGCCCCGGTCCCGCAGACCCCCCTGGAAGGGTGCCCATGGCAGACAGCCCCAAGACCAGAGCCATGCCACTGCTCCCTGCAGAGCTCCAGCCCCGTCACCACGCATCCTCTCCATCCTCCATCTCCCCACCCTTGCCCCCCTGCACAGCCTAATCCTGCTCCAGCGCCAGGGCAGCAACCCAGCCCGTGCTGGGCAGCCCTTTACGCTCCTTGGTGCCAACAAAGCGGGTACCGTGCCATCGCTGGGGCCGAACCCCACCAGCCCCTTGGCTGAGCCCCGGGTCCCCTCCCAGCTGCTGGCCAGCAGCTCCCCCCTGCCGCTGCCCCCTCCCCACGGGGGGACGAGCACTCGCCTGGGTGTCGCTGCGGTAGGAGAAGTCGCCCACGAGGGCACCATTGGCCAGGACTTGCCGGGGAGGGCTGGTGACGCCCAGTACGGTCACGGTCTCCAGCAGCACCCCGTCGAGGTGGGCACTTGCCTGCAGGAGCTGGCTGAGCACAGCGCCCTGTGGGGACAGTGGGGCTGTCACCCCACGCTCCCGGGTCCCAGCCACCCCACACACACCCAGGGCTTCTCGATGTGCCCTGCCCAACGTGCTGCCTGTCTGCAGGGCACAGAGCCCGGGGGGACGGGCGCTCTGCCGTTGCTGGAGAGTGGTACAGCCATTTATCAGAGACAGCACTGGAGAGCATCCGCTGCTGCGCAGCACTGTGGGTGCAAGAAGAGAGCAGCCAGCTCCCCAGCACAGCCTCTCCACCTCCTGAGTGGGCCCCTGGGGGGTACGGTCCCCATGGGACCCCTCCACCTCACAGTGCTGTAGCCCGTGCTGAGCACCCGCTGCAGGGCCGCGACTCAGTCTGGCAATTTGGGCACAACACAGCTTGGCTGCACCATGGCACGGTGCTGCCCATGACCGCATGTGCCCCAGGGGCACCGGGACCTGCACGCGGCTGCGAACACCCGTGCCCAGATGCCCCTACCAGCAGCCCCCCTCGCTCACATGTGTGGCTAGGAAGAGGATCTCGGTGTAGTCCCCCTTCTCAAAGGTCTGCCAGCTCTCCCCATCGTCCCAGAACAGCTCTCCCCTGGCAAAGCCGTCCGGTGTCAGTGCCACGACCAAGGCCATCCCCTTCTTGCGGGACTCGGCAGTGTTGAACGCAGGCTCCTGAGGTGCAAGATCAGGCACAGCTCCGAGCGCTGCCGGAGTCGCTTTCCCCCAGCCCCGACCGAGCACCACAGGCTCGCGGCTCGTTCGGCAACGTCCAGTCTGCCGGTGACTGCGTTGCAGCCCTCCGCCCTGCCCCACGCGCGGACAGGGGCTGGCCAGACAGGTCACCGCGGTGTCACCGCAGCGCGGAGCAGGCTCACCTGCAGGGGCAGGATGTGCCCTGCGCGGACATGGACGTTAATGGTGTCCAGGGGGGCTTGCAAGAGGATCCACTGCCCTTTGCTGTGGATGGTGGAGTCCTAAGTAAAAACAAAAAGACGGAAAAGCAGGCGTAGGGCGCAGCAAGCCAAGGGGGTCCCAGCCCAGTGCTGTGGCCCTCAAACGGCCGTGAGTGAAGGCAGGCAAGGCATGAGTCCTGACCACACAGCCCTGGGGGGCCGGTACCAGCAGTGGGGCACAGGAATGCAGATGGGGCCCCGCGGCGAAGCCCCTGCGTGGCCACCCGAGAGCCCTGTGGCGTGGCGGGGGAGCACCCACCCCTGCGAGGCTGTACCACGTCCCCGCCGGGAAGTAGCCGCTGACTTTGGTCTTTCCTGCCTCCAGCACGGGTGTGATGAGCAGCCCCCCGCCCCACAGGAGCTGGCGGTCCACGGCCCAGGTGTTGGGGTCCTTGGGGAACCTGGGGAAGGATGGGGAGGGATAGTGCAGTGCCAGGGAGACCCTGCACCCACCTCCCGCTGAGCCCGGTGGGGACCGGCACCCATCGGCCCCGGCCGGGTCGGCACTCACTCGAGGAAGAGGGGCCGCGCCACCGTCTCCCCAGCAGAGTGAGCCCGGTGGAAGAGGGTGTAGAGGAAGGGCAGGAGGGAGTAGCGGAGGCGGAGGGCGTTCCTCATGGCGGGCCCCTGCGGCTGCAGGAGAGAAGCCAAAGGGGGATGCTTGGAACGGTGGGCACCTTTTGGGTACGTGGGACAGACTCCCCCTGGCACGAGCCCAGCACCAACGGCACACAGCCCTGCAGCTGCGCCAGCCACCTTCCCACACAGGCAGGGCAGTCCCTGGCACAGCCCCAGAGCGCCCACCCCTGCCCCAGCCACCCAGCCACCCCCGCCACCCGCTGCTGGGCAGGGTGAGGGCTCCCAGTGCTCACCCGGGCACCGTGGTCGTTGTGATTCCTCATGAAGGGGTAGAAGGCGCCCAGCTGGGTCCAGCGCACGCACAGCTCCTCAGACGTGTCGCCCACGAAGCCACAGATGTCGGCACCCACCAGTGGCACCCCAAAGAGGTTGAAGAGCAGCACCTCTACGGAGGGGGTGCAGAGGCCATCGGGGCTCCGCAGCACCTCGGGCACAGAGCCCAGGGAGAAGGCACCGGCTGCAGGGGAGGCGCAGGGGGGGAAGCGGGGGCGGATGCAGCCCCAGCGCCCCATAGCCTACCTGGTACGGAGTAATACAGCTGCTCCCAGTCGCTGCCGACGTCCCCTGTCCAGTGCCCCGCGTAGCGCCCGTGCCCAGCGAAGGTGGAGCGTGAGATGACAAAGGGCCGCTTGCCCCGGACCCTCAGCAGTGCGCTGCAGGCGGGACGGGGTCAGCTCAGCACCGCCCAGGCAGGGAAGGGGCTCAGCACCCCACCAGCGGCTCCCGGCAGCAGCACAGAGCTGGCACATGCCGAGGCAGATGCCCAGGGCCACCTCACCCATGGGGCAGGTGACATGGGACAGTGCTCAGGGCGCAACCCCTCAGCCCAGGAGCCAGCATGGCCGCACTGCACCAGCTCCAGCCCAGGGGATGCTTCCAGCCCCCTCCAGTACCAGGCTGGCAGCAGCAGGCAGTGTGCTGGATTATAAATCAAACCCTCGCCCACCCGCTGAATGCCCCCCATGCCCAAACTGCCCAGATCACGGCATGGGGAGGGGTCTCTCCCCTGGGATGCGCATCCTCCGGGACAGCAGGAGCTGCGGCACGAGCCCCAGGCTTACTCGTGGGAGGCGATGGCCTCAGTCAGCCCGTACAGGCTGTGCAGGTTGTAGTGGGAGGACAGGTACTGCTGGCTTGAGGCACAGATGGTCCCGGCTTGGAGGCGTCCCCCGAACACACCTGCATGGGAGGGGCAGTGGCGAGGGCAAGCTCGGAGCCCTCTCAGCCGGGACCGGAGCATCCCCCAGGCTCCTCCCGGCGCTCCCCGCACCCCCGGGCAGAGGCCGGTACCCACTCCCCGTACCTGGCACGTAGGGGGGCTGCTCCAGGCTGTTGTTGGGGCAGCCGTCCTGGGAGCCCTCCACAAAGTTTGATGGCTCATTCATGTCCTGGGGAGGGAAGGGAAGGGGAGGGAATGGATGCCCTTGCTGCTGCACCAGGGCCCAGCAGAGGTGCAGGGCAGGAGCCAGGGAGCCGCAGCTGGCAGCTCTGCCGGGCCACTCACAATCCACATGCCGTCAAAGGGCACTTGGTCATGGAAGTCCTTCACCATGTCGTGCCACCACTCGTGAGTCTCTGGGTTGGTGAAGTCCGGGAAGGCCGTTGGGCCCGGCCAGACCTGTGGGAGGGAGGCAGCAACCAGCAAAGCCCCGCTGCACCTCACAGCCCCCACGCACCACCCCACTTTCCACCATGGCCATTCCCCGGCTGTTTCCCTCCAGCTCTCGGGGTCCCACTCCTGCAGCCCCGCTCAAGCCCCCTCCCACAGGGACCGGGGCTGCTCCTCGCACGCACCTTCCCAATCAGGGGCTGCCCCGTGGCGTTTCGGATGAACACCCCTCGCTTCAGTCCCTCGTCATAGGGCTTGTAGGTGCCGGGAGGCCCCGAGCTGCTGATCCCAGGATCCTGGCAGGGCACAAAGCCGGGGCTTCACCAGCGAGATAGGGAATGGCCTCCCCTTTCTTCCTCGGAGGAAGCTCCATCACCGCCCTTGGGGGCAGCCAGAAACCCCAGTGCCAGCAGGGAAACCCTGGTGCCGTGCAGGAGCCCCGGCATGGCCGGGGGTGCCACTCACCACGATCATGATGTACCTCAGGCCACGGCGATGGAAGTCCTGCACCATCTCTGGGTAGTCCTTAAAGCTTTTCTTGTTGAAGGTGAAATCCCTCTTGGCATCCATGTAATCCAGGTCGTTCCACTGCACGTCCTGTGGATGGCGGCACCAGTGCTCGGGGAGGAGCAGGGACCCCCACACACCGCCGCCAGACCCCCACCCCACCGAGGCTCCCTATCAGCCCCCCCACGGCCACTTCGGGCAGAGGCTCCCGGGGAGCAGCCGAGACCTACCAGGGGGAAGCGGGCTGCCGTCATGTTGACCACAACCTCCTGGGTGATGCTGGTGGAAGAGTAGCCCCAGCGGCAGAGGTGGAAGCCCAGGCCCCAGTACGGGGGCATGAAGGCGAACCCTGGAAGCCGGGAGGGTGTGTGCTGGCCAGGCGGGCACAGGGACAGCCCAGCACCGCGCCCCGCATCGCGCAGCTCACAGCAACCCGGCAAAGCCATCCCGGGAGCACCCATGCCCCCCGCCCGCGGCTCGGCCCTACCGACAACATCCAGGTACTGCCGCACCACGCTCTTGGGGTCAGGGCCCAGGAAGACGTAGAAGTCCAGGATCCCACCCGTCGTGCGCCAGGTCAAGGCCGGGCTGGGCTGCAGGAGCACATCTGGGGAAGCACAAGTGCTGGAAGAACAAGCTGAGGAGGGGGACGGGGGCCAAGCCCGCACCCGGCGCCTCCATGGGACTCACCCATCGCGTTGCTATTCAGCAGAAAGACACCGTGGGCTGAACCATCGTCCTCCATCCCCAGGTAGAAAGGGTGGGAGCCGTAGAGGTTGGCCTGGGGCTGGAGCAGAGCACAGCGTGGTGCTGGCAAGGCTCTGCCAGAGACCCCAGTGCAGCACCCACCCACCCACCCCTCACCTCCGGCCAGAAGCACTGTCATGGCTCAGGTGCAAACCCAGGGCTTGCAGCCCCAAACACCACCCCAGTCGGCAGAGCTGTGCCCCAAGCAAGAGCCCTGGGACCAGTGGGGGGGAAAGCAGCTCCCGAGCAGCGCAGAGCAGAGCCCCAAGGGGGAACAAAGCCTGACGCGGAGACAGCAGTCCTATGGGCTTGCCCGCGGCTGAGGCCAGGTCCCAGAGCTCAACCAGCACGGATGCCTTTCCCCAGCCTCGGACAAGACATAAGAGGCCGTGGGGCCACCCCTGCAAGCACAGATGAGCCATCTCCCTGTCCCTCAGCCCCGCTCCGTACCACAGGAGCCATGTCTCGATTCCAGAGGGTGACCCTGGTCCACGCCGTGTCGAGGACCAGCGGCGTCAGGTGCTCCCCCAGCCCAGAAATGAAATGGGAGGGCAAAGAGGTGGAGATCTGCAGGAACTGGTCTGCGAAGAAGAGGGGCGCGACGGTGGTGTTCAGCCTGCCGGAGAGAAAGGGAGACTCTGGCAAACAGCCCCGGCGGTGCCCAGCAGCCAGGGAGGAGGGAGGCACCGAGCTGGAGGACCACCAGCTCTGGGGAGGGACACAGATGCTCGTCACCATGTGAAACAAAACCAAGTTTTGGCTGAGCTCTGGGATTCCTGCTTCCCTTCTCAGCCACCGAACGGCAGAAGGGGTCAAAGCAAAGCCCCCGCAGCCGCTGACTGCCACCCTGCTGTCCTCACCCGTGTCCCCTGCCCCATCCCTGCTCCCGGCCCGTGCATTGCTGGGGCCGGCGTCGTGTCCCGCTTCCAGACCGAATCCCTTCGGGAAGGCGAGGGGAGCCCTCGCCCGGCTCGGGGCAGGACGGGCACTTACAGGACCCGCCCGTCGCGCTGCCGGTAGACGACGAGGCCGAAGGGCTCCTGGTTGACCCGCACCCCGTAGAGCGTGGAGGCGGCTCGGCCGCTCGCCGGCGGCGTGGCCAGGGGCACCTCGTACCGCTGCCGGGCCGGGTCCCGCAGCTGCG